TCGGGCGGCGCGGGCGGCTCGGGCGGCACGGGCGGCTCGGCGGCGGCTCGGGCGGCGGCTCGGCGGCGGCTCGGCGGCGGCTCGGCGGCGGCTCGGCGGCGGCTCAGGCGGCGGCGGCTCGGCGGCGGCTCGGCTGCTGCTGGGCGGCGCGGGCGGCTCGGGCGTCACGGGCGGCTCGGCGGCGGCTCGGGCGGCACTGGGCGGCTCGGCGGCGGCTCGGGCGGCGGCTCGGCGGCGGCTCGGCGGCGGCTCGGCGGCGGCTCGGCGGCGGCTCGGCGGCGGCTCGGCGGCGGCTCGGCGGCGGCTCAGGCGGCGGCGGCTGCTGCTGGGCGGATCGGCGGGGCCGCGTAGCAGAGTGGCGGCTGGGCCGCGACCGAGTAGAGCGGCGGGGCCGCGTAGCAGGGGGCGGCGGGGCCGCGTAGCAGAGGGCGGCGGGGCCGCGTAGCAGAGAGCGGCGGGGCCGCGATCGAAGGGCGGCGGGGCCGCGTAGCAGAGGGCGGCGGGGCCGCGTAGCAGAGGGCGGCGGGGCCGCGTGGCAAAGGGCGGCGGGGCCGCGATCAAAGGGCGGCGGGGCCGCGTAGCAGAGGGCGGCGGGGCCGCGTAGCAGAGGGTGGCGGGGCCGCGTAGCAGAGGGCGGCGGGGCCGCGAGGCAGAGGGCGGCGGGGCCGCGTAGCCGAGGGCGGCGGGGCCGCGATCGAAGGGCGGCGGCGGGGCCGCGTAGCAGAGGGCGGCGGGGCCGCGATCGAAGGGCGGCGGGGCCGCTAGGGAAGGGCGGCGCAACGGTCCGCTATGGGCGACACGACGGGTCGCTAAAAGAAAACGCGCCTCGGGGCGCGGTTCGGTGGGCCCTAGAAGCAGTCCCTAGGAGGGAACCTGCTCTGATTCCATGTGAAAACAAAGAACGAGAATGAGATGACTATGAACGAAGTGAGTACAAATAGGATACCCTAATTGGGTTGTACCCCCTATGGGATACCCCACTATAGCCTACAGAAACAAGTAAGCTATAAGTTCTGACAGACGCCACGCTTTTACCGTATCCAGCTTCTTTGGGTCGATTTCAACTCCAGCCTCCGAAATAACGTGCCCCAAAAATTCTTGTCTGTCCCGAAAAAACTCGCACGTAGAGCCCTTGGTGAGTAACCAATGTTCCTCTAAAACTTTAAATACCGCTTCGAGATCCGCTAGGTGCTGCTGCTTATCCCGACTGTACACTAGAATGTCGTCGAGGTAAACTATTACGCACTTATCTAAGAGCGGCCTAAACGCCTCGTTCATGGTCATCTGAAATGTTGCGGGCGCGTTGGTCAGCCCGAAAGGCATCACCGTGTACTCAAACGACCCGTACCTAGTCCTAAATGTTGTCTTGGCGCAGTCCGATGGTTCGACCCGAATCTGATGGTAACCCCCCCGTAAGTCTATTTTCGAAAACACCCGTGCTGTTCGCAGTTGGTCGATCAGTTCGTCGGCACGGGGAATTGGGTACCGCGACTTGACTGTTGCCTTGTTGAGCGCTCTGTAATCGATGCACATGCGAAACCCTTCGTCTTTTTTCGCTGTGAATAGTATCGGTGCGGCGAACGGTGCCGAACTTGGTCGAATAAACTGCTTCTCTAACAAATAATCTAACTACTTCCTTAGTTCGTCGAGCTCGGGCTGTGTTAGTCTGAACTGGCGCTGTACAGCTGGCTGTGCCCCCGGTTCTAACTCGATTCTATGATCATGCGCCCGCTGAGGTGGCAGCCCTTCCGGTAAGTCGTCTGGAAAAATCCCCGGGTACCGTTTCAACAGTTCTTGTAGTTCGGGCGGTACTGCTGCCAACAATTTTTGAAAATCGCTCGCCTGCTCCGCTTCTCCTACTAATGCTATATCTACTGCGTACACATCAGCACCAGCGGCGACAACCCGTTTCATCGTGATGGCGTTGACGTGGACTGTTGAAGACTCGGGCGACTGGCAGCGAGGTAGCTCGACCCAGTTACCACTACTTCGCATGGTGCAGCTACCCGTCGTCAAGTCAATTCGCGGGTTATACCGTCGCAGCCAATCACGTCCCAGTAAAATATCGTGCCCATCTAGTATCGTTGCGAGCATTTCCTGTGTAAACCCAAAAGTTCCCTCGCAACGGATTTTGACTCGCTCTACCTTTTCCCGTATGGCCAGTGGCGTGCCGTCGACTAAGCGTGCGTCTATCTCCGGTAAGCAACGGCTAAGTGTCACCTGTAGTTTTCGTGCGGTTGCGGTATTAACTAAACTGTGGCTTGCTCCTCCGTCGATAAAAATCTTCACTACTGCTCCCTGTATTTTCCCGTGGATCAGTACTGGGCAATCCGTCGCTGTACCCTCCTTGTTCATCCGAGCCCGATCGATGGCGTGAATCGGTACTGTGACTCGGTGAGGGTCGGTGCGGTTGGGCGAGCAGGCAGTCTCGTCAGTAGTTGGCCCAACTTCTACTGACTGCTGGCGTTTCCCCGCCTCTGAGACTCCCCCCCCTGCTCTGCTCCGCAGCGCCTTAGCTCTTTTGGGCATTCGCTCTTGCGATGGCCCGGCCTATTGCAAGAAAAGCAGCACCCCTTAAACGGTGCGGCAGCTGCATTCGTTGCAACAGCGTTTACAGTGGCGTGCTCGATCGGTCCCCGAGGACGATGTCCGTAGTAGGACCCCGGTCTCGGTCGGCGTAGAATGTCGATTTTCTCGGCGAGCGCGAGAATCTCGTTGAAGTTTGAGAGTTTGCGCAGCATGATTTCGTGCGAGATATCCGGCTTCAGCCCTCCGACGTAACGGTCCACCCGCTCCGTTTCGTGCATGTAGCGGACGTGCTCGCAAAGTGCGAGAAAACCACTCGTGTAATCTTGAACCGACCCGAGCTGTCGCCAAGTACGCAACCTCTGACGCGCCGAAATAGAAGCCGCGATCGGCTCGAAGCGCGCCCAAAGCCCTGCGCACCAGGCATCCCACGTGCTGTATTGGGCGGTCTCGCAGAATGAACTCCAGGTGACAGCTGGACCCGTGGGCCCTTCCTGTTGCGACGGTGGCTCGTAGGCGCGTGGCGACGTCACGATGACTCGCCACCAGTCCATGGCGGGGGCCCTTAACAGCGAAACGGCATACCGAATCTTCGCTGCGTCCGACTCGACGTAATTCGCGTCGAAGAAGACGTTCATCGTGAAAACCCACGATTGAACCGTCGGACCTCCACGTTGGCTTGGGTCGAAGCAGGGCGGGCGTTGCGGCTTGAGTGGCATGGGTGCCATAATGGCCTATTCGCCACTTGTCGCCGCGAACTCCACGTGCCGACGGGCTTCACGAGGCTCCCGCGGGCTTGGTGCGACCCTGTTTCCTCCCATGCCAGGCATCGGCTGGGCGGCGCCATCACTGGCTGCGCCTGAGCGTTGTCCCACGCTGTCATGTTGCGTTGGTGTGCCGGACGAAATGACGATCGGCTCGTCCGATTGTGCAGATGCATTTGTTGGTGCGTGTGGTGGCGCTGAAATGTTCACCGTGGATTGCTGACGTGCGGAGTCACGTTCCGCCGTGAGCGTCGCAATTTCGAGCGCCGAATCTTCAAGTTGGCGCACCAGACGGTCGAGCTGCTCCTGCGTCAATGTGGCGAGCGTGAATTCGGCCATGGCGGGGGTGTCGGGCGAGCTCAGCGAGAGCCTCGTTCGTGGCCGTGCGTGCTTACGAGAGAGCACTACGAGCGGCGGTGCTGTGTCGCTGAGAGACGTCTACCCCCCCCAAAAATTGAGATAGTGGGGAAGCGAAGGCGTGGGTGCGGTCCGAGAGGAAATCGTAGGCTTTGAATACCAAGTGTTACGAGTGCAATTGAGTGAACGAACGAGAATTGCACTATCGAAGCAAGAGTACAATGAGCGAAGGCATGAGCGAAGAATATATAGCGAAACTACAGTGGTAACGGTAATGGACTGTGGTTGTCGCGCGACGGGCCTGGGACTGAGGTTGGGAAAAGTGTCAAAGCGGAGGCCCGGAGCGCGGGTTACCCGTCGAGCCGTGAGGTCGGGGTGCGACGTGCGAAGGTGGCGGGCGGATTGTCGATGCGAGGATTGCGAGTGGTAACGGTGCTGACTGTGGTGCTACAGTGATGTACGCATTGAGCAGGGATGCGAAGTAAGGAAAAGGAATTTTCCTTACATTTACATAGTTTATGTGAGTCTTACTAAAAGTCTGTATAAACATTATCGAACTAGTTTATGTGAGTCTTACTAAATGTCTAAATAAACATTATGATCGAACTGGCGCGTTAGTCGTTACCGCCGAGATAGCAGCCATCAATTGCTGAGGAGCCAGCAGCAGCTGCTCGATTCGCCTTCCCAGCGCGTGCTGTTCGCGCCTCGAGCCAGGTTGAGGGGCCAGGTGAGGAGTAGGATTTCAGCGGAGACAGGCGGGGCAGGCGGGGCAGGCGGGGCTCGCCATCCGCCGCACGGCCAGCTCTCGCCCGACGGCGCCCCCCCTCCGACGGCGCTTCTCTGCCCTCCGCCTCCCCGCTCCCCTTTCCCTCCGCCTTCCCTCTCCCGTTTCAAATCCCCACATCTTACCTGCCCTCCCTTCGCCGCCATCAATGCCCTGCGACCCCCCTCGCCTGCCCTGCGACCCGCTTCGCCTGCCCTGCGACCCGCCTCGCCTGCCCTGCGACCCGCCTCGCCTGCCCTGCGACCCACCTCGCCTGCCCTGCGACCCTCCCCGCCTGCCCTGCGACCCTCCTCGCCTCCCTGCGACCCGCATCAACTGCGCTGCTAACCTCGCTGCTCCACTTGCTGCTCGCCGCCCTCGCTAGCTGCCTGCCTGCGCGCGTGCGCGCCCACCGCGCCCGCTCTCCACTGCGCGCCCGCACCCTCCCGTTCCTCGCACTCCGTCGCGTCCATCCGCCCGTCCAGCAGTGCCGCGCCAAGCCGGAGCGGCGGTGGGCGCGCAGGTGCGGTGCGAGTGCCGCCGCTAAGCAGTGCCGACAGCCGTGGAGGCGCGACTTCGGTGGGGTGTGCATGGAGTCGCGCACGCAGGGGGGGAGGGAGGAGGGGGACATGCAAGGAGGGCGGGACGGGAGGGGCGGGGAGGCGTGGCAGGCGGAGGTGGAGGAGGCGCTGCTGGCGGCGGTGTGTGACGGCATGGGCTTCAACAGACACGACGCCCTTCACAAGCTGCCACTCTTCATGCAGGTGCGCTCTTCATGCAGGTGCGCTCTTCATGCAGGTGCGCTCTTCTGTGACAGCGTCTAAATTGTGTACCAGAATGGAACAATCTAACAAGCTCGCTTTGCACCTCACACCCGCTCTGCTTGCATGCCCATCCATCCGTTGCACCCATCTGCACACATCGACTCCCTTCTCTTCATGCGTTCTCCCAACCCTCCCCGCCAACCCTGCCCGCCTTCTTCCCCACGTTCCCCACTCCTCATGCACGTGCATGACACCCGCGTGCGTTACATGGCACATGCCACATGGCGCATGGCGCATGACACATGGCACATGCCACATGGCACATGGCAGCTGAAGCGGAGCGAGCTTTCGCAGATGGTGAAGGAAAAGGGGGCGGAGGTCACCGTGGGGGCAGCAGCAGAGGAATTCGTTGAGTGGATGCTCAGCGGGGAGCACGACCAGGTGAGTGGATGCTCAGCGGGGAGCACGACCAGGTGAGTGGATGCTCAGCGGGGAGCACGACCAGGTGAGGGGGGATCGAGGTGAAGGGGCCATGAGGAGGTGAGGGGGAGGCGAGGTGAGGGAAAGGGGGAGGTGAGGAGCGAGGTGTGGGGGGGGCGAGGTGGCGGTTTGGGGCGATGTGGACATGGACAATGCACTCCCACGCTGCACTTTGCGACTTGCAGCGCTTGCTGCGTCTGCCCGTTGACTGCGAGGTCTGCCCCGTCAAGTCGGTACGAGCGAGTGATGGGAGGTCGCCTTCCATGCTCACTCTCCTCCCTCCACCCCTCTCTCTACTCTCCTCCCTCCACCCCTCTCTCTACTCTCCCCCCTCCACCCCTCTCTCTACTCTCCTCCCCTCCCCTCTCTCCGTACACAAGCATGCGCCCGTGGCCACGCACCTATACCCTCATCCCCATTCGGCATGGCCACGCACCTCACCTATACCCCCTCATCCCCATTCGCCATGGCCACGCACCTATACCCTCATCCCCATGCGCCCATGGCCGTGGTGCAAGGGCGTGGTGCATGGCCGTGGTGCATGGGCGTGGTGCATGGGCGTGGTGCATGGCCGTGGTGCATGGGCGTGTGATGCATGTGGTTGGTGTCATGTCGTGTCCGGCAGGTGGCAGCAGACGAGGCGATGCGGGAGGAGCTGGACCCCAACCTGCAGGAGGAGCTGGACCCCGACCTGCAGGCGCGCATCGCCCGCCACATTGAGCGCCGCCGCCAGAAGCAGGCGCGCAGGGCAGCGGGGGAGGGGGGGGAGAAGAAGAGGAAGGGGAGGAAAAGTGGAGAGGGGGAGAAGCGAGGGGAGCAGGGTGAGGAGATGAGGAAGATGAGCAGGGGGGATGAGGAGGTGAAGGAGGAGGTGCGGATGGGGGAAGGTGATGGTATGGGAGGCTGGGTGGGAGGAGTGGAAGAGGAAGGCATGCGAGGGGATGCGGAGGGAGCAGTGGCAGGCGAGCAGACAGGTAAGCAAACGGTGATGTGATGTGGGAGAGGAGGTGGGGGAGATGGGCGTGTGGAGTGACTATGCTGCCATCCGCCATGCCTGCAACCAAGCGGCCGCTTGCTTGTTCAGCATCTCGCACACGCGCTTTGAATGGCCCTGTTTATCCACACAATGCGAGCCTCTAAACGCGATGGCAGCAATGGCGCATACTCTAGTTTATCCAGGCAATGTGAGCCTCAAAGAGTTAAAACTAGAAGCCGAAAGGATGCCTGGACTAAGTTGTTGGAAGGTAAGCATAGTTGTGGGTGGTTTGGTTGCTGAATTAGCCCAGAGGTTTGGACGGAACGCAATACTAAATTGGGTTGGAGGAATCACTTGGGGTCCAGTTATCCTTGTCAAAGCGAGCTCCCATTCATGGGCTCGAAAGATTTTCCACGCCAGCCATTGCCAACCCCATACTAATGAATGGGCCCAGGTTGGAAATATATTTCCCACTCGCACCCACTATGTCCTGCATCGGCACAATGAACAAGTGACATGGGACGGCTTGGGTCGCGCGCATAGCTCAACCCCAGTAGGCATGAGCAAAAGACAAACCCAAACAGGTTCAACTTGAACATGGCTGAAACCCAATTTGGGTTGATGTTCGAGTATGAAAGTTCGCTTTCAAACACCGAGGGGTATATTTTTTTTGCTTAAAATCTTAGGTGCATTCAAATCCACCTCACAGCACATCTAGCAGACGCCATCACTATGATAGAACGATTGGAGCTCCCCCAATCCCGTCCGTCCCACTCACCGAACTCGACCAATATAACTGACAGTCAAGCTGAACCAGTTTGGATCGAACCATCTGGAGTACAACCGCGGGAGGTCGGACTCAAACCTCGACCGTTACGCTTCAACCCGGTCCGACTTGAAGCGCTTCGGGTTCCGTACATGCTCATGCCTACTTGCTCACTGTGCTGCCCACACCTGTTCTGCTCCATCAATGCTCATCCTCCTTCCATGCCCATAAATCTCAACGGAACGGAGGTTGACGCTCCGTTTTGCCTGTGTTGACGCAAAAGGTTGACACTTTTGCATTCGTCAACCTGCCCGGGGCAAAAAAAATCAAAACCCTTTAGGAAACGCATGTCTTTTGGGCCGGCATCAACCCTAATCACCTTGCGGCAAGGTGTATAGGGTTGATGCTGACAAAAGTTGTGTGCCATTCCGTAAAAAGGTTTTTTCTTTTGCAACCAGGCTGCGATTCCGCTGGGCGGGGTCATTGTATGTTGAGATATACTATCCTTCCTCACCTCTCCCCTCTGCCCTGCAGGTGCTGCCCATCCTCCTGCTGCCGCCCATCCTCCCGTTGCCTCCCATCCCCCCGCGGCTGCCCACCCTCCCACGGCTGCCCACCCCCCCGCTGCCGCCCATCCCCCCGCTGCCGCCCATCCCCCAGCTGCCGCCCATCCCCCCGCTGCCGCCAATTTCCCCGCTGTTGCCCATCCACCTGGTGCCGCGCATCCCCCCTTCGCTGGCGATCCCGTGGCTGGTGCCCAACCCCGTACTGCTCACATCACCCACGCCACTATCAACGCTCCCCATCCCGCTTGCCAGCAACCTGTAGTCTCCCCTCACCTTCCACTCACCTCCCCTCACGTTCCTCCCACCTCCAATGATCTTCCCCTCTCCTCCACTCACCTTCCCGCCACCTTCCCCCAGCATCCCCTCGCCTCCTGTCAGCCTCCCGTCCCCTCCCCCCAGCTGCTCGCTCCAGCCGATCAGCTCCCCTGCCCAGCCGATCAGCTCCCCTGCCCAGCACCCACCAAACCCCTCTCGCCCACCCGAGAGGGAGAGGAGGGAGGGGGAGGAGGAGGAGGAAAGGGATTGTTGGCAGATGCGTGGGTGGAGGATGGAGGTGGGAGGGGGAGTGAGAGGCGAAGGGAGATGGAGCGCAGGGTGAGCGAGAGAGAGATGGAGCGCAGGGTGAGCGAGAGGGAGATGGAGCGCAGGGTGAGCGAGAGGGAGATGGTCCGGCTGCGCAGCCGCGGGGGGTTAGGGAGGGTGGGGGCTGAGAGTGGTGTGGCAGGGAGGGATGTGGGGCAGAGGGGCAGGGGGCACGGGGAGGGGCAGAGTGGTAGAGGAGGAGAGGGTGAGCGGCGGGGAGAGAGGGCAGGGGGTGACGAGGGGTGCAGGCAAGGGGCGTGCAGTGCCCCCCCCCACGCTGCCTCGCCGTCGCCATGGCCCCCGGCAGGCAGAGAGCCCCTTGCTGCGCCCAGCGTGATGCGCGCGGCTGCTAGTGGAGCGGCTTGGCGAGACTTGGGAGGAGGGGGTGCAGCGAGAGGCTTGGGGCGAGGGGCACGGGGAGAGGGGAGGGGAAGGAGGTGGTTGGGAGAGGGGGAGGCAGCGAGGGATTTGGCAGAGCCGGTGGGAAGAGCGGGAAGCACTGTGATTGGCCAGAAAGGGCTGGCAAGTGGACTGCTGCTGCGCGCTAGTGAGGGGAGTGGCAGGGGGCAGGGGGGGGCGGAGGGGCATGTGCATGGGCGAGGGCGGGGGAGCGTGTACGGAAACAGGCATGAGTGTGCTGTTGGCGTTGGACATGGGGATGTGCGAAACAGGAAGGAGGCCGAGAAGGGGGATTGCAGCGAAGAGCACCTCATCAGAGGGCAGGCAGGTGTGGGTGCGTGTAGTGTGGGGGCCAGTGCGGGCGTGGGGGAAGTAGCGGAGGGCAGTGCAAGGGAGGCGGATGCTGCCCACACTGGCACTGCTGGCACTGCTGGCACCCCCCCCTGCGTGCGCGACGACGCTCAGTCCCCCGCCGCAAACCGCGGTGGGGATGGCAGTGCCACACCAGCTGCACCAGCAAGCTTGCTTGGGGGAGCAAGCGAGGGGTCAGGTGGAAGAGGAAGGGGTCACTTCAGGGGCACAAGGGGACGTGGGGTTGGAGGGAGGGCGAGGGGCAGGGCGAGTGGGGGACGCAGGGTGGTTCACCCGCGGGAGGACATCTCGCGGGGCAAGGAGGCGGTGGCCATCCCGTGGGTGAACGAGCACAGCCACGAGCAGCCGCCCGCGTTGTGGATGTACATGAGGAAGAGCTGGCCGGCCAGCGACAAAGTGAAGTTCGTCATGTGAGCTCTCATCTGCTCTCCATTTTGATGTCCACAAAATCCTTCCATGAAAGATGGGTAAGCTTACTAGTCATCATGGATATGCACGATCATGATTGGTGGAGCGAGAAGTTAACATGTACAGTGTACCTGTCGCTCCCATGCAGCGCATTGGATCGCATCGACACGTTCTGTGAGGACTGCCAAGGGGATTGCATGGGCGACATCCAGTGTGAATGCACACAGCCACTGCGGGGCGCATGGGCGTACACCAGGGATGGCACTCTCACGGACGCCTTCTTGAGGAAGGTGGAGATGGAGGTGGAGCAGGGCGAGGAGGCGGTGAGGCGGGGCAACAAGCAGTTCTGTGCTCGTGAGCGCTTGCTGTGGTGCCCCGTGAATGCGGCGCAGCTGAAGCACGCCATGGATGCCATGCCCGCGGATGTGCCTGCGCCAGTGAGGCTGAGTAAATTTTGTGCGAGCGCCCTTGAGGCGTGTGTGGCGTGCCCCGGGCATCCTGTGCGCACCTTCATCAAGGAGTGCTTTGTCAAGTGCGGATGCAGCGAGATGTGTGGCAACCGAGTGGTGCAACGTGGCATCACAAGGCGCTTTCAGGTAACATCACTAACTTGTTTTCCATATCATCGTCGACAGCATGCTCGAGCAAGAAGCCGAACACTGAACTGAACGGGTGCTTTTTTGTTGCCCTTTGTGTTTGGGTTGAACTTGTTCGTGTTCGGTTCGCCGAGCCGCGTCGAGCACGAACATGTGACGAACACATTCTACATAATTTCTTAGCTCAACCTCGGTACCTTTTCCTTTCTCGAACCTAGCTTACTAGAAACAGTAGTGAAGCATAGTTTAGATCTAGTTTAACATGTTCGCCCACACACATCCTCCTGATCTAAACTGGTCTAAGGATGGCACAAAAGGGTGCATGACATTGTCTAGAGAAACGACAAGCGAGAATCGTGGAGATCTCTATTTTAGCGAGAGGGCAAACTGAATCCGTTGTTCTTCAACTCATGGATCTCGTTCTGGTTCAAACCCATTTGCAGCAGTTTCTTGCGGGCTTGCCTATGACATTGGCGGATTAGGGTTTTGGGTGCCTGAAACTGCTGCTGAATATTCGAACACGAACATGTTCAAGGCGAACATAAAGGTGTTCACTTATAAGGCGAATACATGAAAACCTCTCCCTGAATGTGTTTGGTTCGAACCGAACATGTTGGGTCGGCTCAACAGACGTGTTCGAGGCATGTTCGAATGCAGCATGTTCATGCTCGGCCTTCGCTCATGCCAAGCGACCGACAGTATAACCTCCATCCCCAACCGTGCCCACCCACCCGTCCACTTGTTGTATCTCCATGCGCCCGTCCTCCAAGCTGTTACCTCCCCTCCTCCGCCCGCCCTGCGCTCTCCGTCTTTGTGAGTGTTTACAGCGTTTCCCCCTAATAGGCGTGTGCTGTTAGTGCACAACTGCACTGCTGTGCACCGCGTAGACGTCTTTGTGCCTCGTACAAGCAAACCTGTTTTGGTGGGCTGCACAACAAACAACACACTCCTTAGTCACAAACACCACACTCCTTAGTCACAAACACCACACTCTTTTGTCACAAACAGTGCGGAGAGTCACTCTACATCGGGAGGTGGACTACGGGGGAGGCACTGGCTGTAGGAGTGATTGTAGCGTTCTCTAGCACTTGTGAGTTCACAGAGCAATTTGGCAAGAGTAGGGAAAGTTGCATTGCAAAATGATAGCAAAAACAATGACAAGAATGACTACATCAAAGCCTAGCAAACCTACCAGCCAGGCTGGTCGACAGCCTGCCAGCGTTGCGTAGAGGAGCCGCGCCAGCGCTGGAGAAAGGCGGCCTGCCAATAGAGTAGGTCGACGGCGTTCCAACGTTGTAGCAAAACGGTCGTCCAGTGTTGCACCCGTAGATGACAGGAGCGCACACGCTCGCAGGTGCTTGCAGACGATTGGCCCGACATGCACCGTCACGCGTCATGTCAGTGGTGACTGCGCCTGATGAGCCACATCGACTTCGGAATACCAACCCGAAGTCGCCTTCGCCATCGCAGCCTCGACGACGTTCGTGTGGCTCTGCAGGACCTCGTCGAGCAGGTTATACATGGGCATCGAGGGTGGAGTTTTAGCTCGACTCGTCCGAGATGCTCGTCAGGGGGCGAGTGACAAGCCTGGATTTTTATGAGAAAACCTCGCCCGAGGCGAGTCGAGTTTTACTCGGCGAGCTTTTGTAACTCATCACTTGCTCGGTCATGGCGACAAGCATTTTCTTGAGTTTTTTGTGCTCGCCGACCTTTTACCTCAAGTCAGAGTTTTGTTTGATTTGAGGTAAAAGTTCGGCGAGCAAGAGTGATGAGTCGAGTATTGCTCGACTCGTCGCTTTGACCATGTATAGAGCAGGTTACCTGGTCAACCGAGTCGACGACCTCCCTCTTCGACCACTCATCCCGTCGAGGACCGCCCTGGTCGACGGACCCTTCCGTCGACCAACGTGGCCAGCTGCCGTCGAACTTCGACCGTCGACGGCCTCTACGACAGTCCCGCGCAAGTCACAAACACCACACTCAGTCACAAACACCACACTCAGTCACAAACACCACACTCAGTCACAAACACCACAATCAGTCACAAACACCACACTCCTTAGTCACGAACACCACACTCCTTTGTCACAAACACCACACTCCTTTGTCACAAACACCACACTCAGTCACAAACACCACACTCCTTTGTCTCAAACACCACACTCCTTACCTTAGTCACAAACACCACACTCCTTTGTCACAAACACCACACTCCTTTGTCACAAACACCACAATCCTTTGTCACAAACACCACACTCCTTAGTCGCGCTTACATGACGCCATTTCGAGATGTGAGACACACGGAATTCAAGTGTCGTGAGTTTTGGGGGTAGTCACTCTTGTGACATGTAGTGTCTAATATTGCAGCATATCATGCATGTGTAACATTGCAGCATATCATGCATGTCTAACATTGCAGCATATCATGCATGTCTAATATTGCAGCATATCATGCATGTCTAACATTGCAGCATATCATGCATGTCTAACATTGCAGCATATCATGCATGTCTAACATTGCAGCATATCATGCATGTCTAACATTGCAGCATATCATGCATGTCTAACATTGCAGCATATCATGCATGTCTAACATTGCAGCATATCATGCATGTCTAACATTGCAGCATATCATGCATGTCTAACATTGCAGCATATCATGCATGTCTAACATTGCAGCATATCATGCGTGTCTAACATTGCAGCATATCATGCGTGTCTAACATTGCAGCATATCATGAAAAGACCTTGTTCGATGTATGCACGGATCCTGTTATGCATGGATCTGGATCAATCAAGCATTGCACAACTTGTTACTGGAAGTGATCCTAGTCCACACATGTGTGCACAATAGCCCTAAACTCAGGCAACAGCACTATCCGCCATATCTGCGATGCCAACACATGACTGCCATGCCAACACATGACTGCCATGCCAACACATGACTGCCATGCCAACACATGACTGCCATGCCAACACATGACTGCCATGCCAACACATGACTGCCATGCCAACACATGACTGCCCTGCCAACACATGACTGCCATGCCAACACATGACTGCCATGCCAACACATGACTGCCATGCCAACACATGACTGCCATGCCAACACATGACTGCCATGCCAACACATGACTGCCATGCCAACACATGACTGCCATGCCAACACATGACTGCCATGCCAACACATGACTGCCATGCCAACACATGACTGCCATGCCAACACATGACTGCCATGCCAACACATGACTGCCAAGTGAACACACGTGTTGAAGTCAGGTCGCACATCACGTCTCCGTTGTTTGCTCTTAGAATCAGCGTGAGTGAGAAGGATGTTGTTGTCCTCTGACCATTGCCATGCACCCCGGCATGCATGCTGTTCTCCTCTGCTGCACCCGCCACTGCCACGGGCGTGGGCACGGGCGTGGGCACGGGCACGGGCAGGTGTTCATGACGGCGGGCAAGGGGTGGGGGGTGCGCACGCTGGAGCGGCTGCCGCGAGGGGCGTTTGTGTTTGAGTACGCGGGCGAGGTGGTCACCAACACCGAGATGGACGAGCGCAACCAGCGGCAGGCCAGGAACCAGCGCGGCACCTTTCCTATCTACCTGGATGCGGACTGGGCGGCGGAGGGGGGTCTGACTGACGATGAGGCCCTGTGCCTGGATGCCACACGGCTTGGCAACGTGGCGCGATTCGTCAACCACAGGTACTTCATGGCGCGATTCGTCAACCATAGGTACTTCATGGCGCGATTCGTCAACCACAGGTACTTCATGGCGCGATTCGTCAACCACAGGTACTTCATGGCGCGATTCGTCAACCACAGGTACTTCATGGCGCGATTCGTCAACCACAGGTACTTCATGGCGCGATTCGTCAACCACAGGTACTTCATGGCGCGATTCGTCAACCACAGGTACTTCATGGCGCGATTCGTCAACCACAGGTACTTCATGGCGCGATTCGTCAACCACAGGTACTTCATGGCGCGATTCGTCAACCACAGGTACTTCATGGCGCGATTCGTCAACCACAGGTACTTCATGGCGCGATTCGTCAACCACAGGTACTTCATGGCGCGATTCGTCAACCACAGGTACTTCATGGCGCGATTCGTCAACCACAGGTACTTCATGGCGCGATTTGTCAACCACAGGTACTTCATGGCGCGATTCGTCAACCACAGGTACTTCATGGCGCGATTCGTCAACCACAGGTACTACATGGCGCGATTCGTCAACCACAGGTACTTCATGGCGCGATTCGTCAACCACAGGTACTTCATGGCGCGATTCGTCAACCACAGGTACTTCATGGCGCGATTCGTCAACCACAGGTACTTCATGGCGCGATTCGTCAACCACAGGTACTTCATGGCGCGATTCGTCAACCACAGGTACTTCATGGCTGCGTGTCTCCTCCACCATCAGTGCTTCGTCAAGTTACCCATGAATGAGTTGCTGGCAAACCAAGGGTTTGCATGCAGGTAACGTGACATGGTGGTGGGTAAGGATGCATGTCAAAGATGGTGGTGGGTAAGGGTGCATGCCAACCGATGATCATGCACGGGGGTAAGCGATGTCCATGCTGTGGACCATGGAACATGTGAGTACGACGCCCACGCCATGAACCATGCCCCCCCCCCTCCCCTCCCATCGCCCCACCCCCCCCCATTTTTTTTTTTGGCCGTGTGTGTCTACCTCTATACTTTGTGCTTCTCTATTCAGTGGTCCCGCTTGCCGTTTATTTTGTAACCCAACGCTAACATCGTTATGCAGGTGTGGAGATGCCAACCTCGTGAACGTGCCAGTGGAGATAGAACACAAGGACCACAACATCTACCATGTGAGTGGGGCCATCAACATCTACCATGTGAGTGGGGCCATCAACATCTACCATGTCATCAATGCAAGAGCATGTGAAGGATGTCAGCCTGCTGTGCTCTTCTTGCTAGGTGTGCTTGTGCTGGCGTTTCATTGGGTTGCACCTCTTGCATTACAGGTGGCGTTTTTCACGCGAAAGGAGGTCGAGCCAATGGAAGAACTAACGTGGGTACGTACGTGATATGTCACCAAGGTGCTTTTGTTTCGCACAAGCATCTTGAGTTACGAATTGGCGGGGTAACAGTGTCTTTGGCGAGGTAACCTGGTGCTAGTTTGTGAGGCGTGAAATGGAAGCAAATTATGAAGTTTGTTGTTGTAGTTTTGTGTCACAAAGGGAAAGTTGTGTGATTTTGCAGTGAGTATCAGTGCAACGTAGACAAGCAATGGTGATGGGTGAGGCTGTTCGTGCACAGTGCTACCCGAGCCATGCGCAGAGGCAGTGCCAGTGAGGAAATTTCAACAATGGTGTAATGTGAGTAAGCGATGGGCCTTCTTAAGGTATTCAAGGCCATATTGAGCAGCTGAACATAAAGCTGAAGGGAGGATATGATGTCTTGGGTCTATACTTTTCATCTTACCTGCTTGAGTCTGGAGTAAGTGCGTGTGGCAGCAATGGTGGGCAGGGAGTACGTGTGTGGTTGAACACTAGTGTGCTCAGGTCGAACTTGTTCGACTCGAACTCAAACAGGTTTGTATTTATAGTCTCATGGGTCCGAGTGTTTTTTAGGATACGCAACCTCGAACAGTTGAACATGTGGTTGGAATGGCGTTCCATGTGGTTGGTATGGCGTTCCATGTGGTTGGTATGCTGTTGCACGTGGTTGGTATGGCGTTGCATGTGGTTGGTATGGCGTTGCACGTGGTTGGTATGGCGTTGCATGTGGTTGGTATGGTGTTGCATGTGCGTTGCATGTGGTTGGTATGGCGTTGCACGTGGTTGGTATGGCGTTGCATGTGGTTGGTATGGCGTTGCATATGGTTGGTATGGCGTTGCATGTGGTTGGTATGGCATTGCATGTGGTTGGTGTGGCGTTGCATGTGGTTGGTGTGGCGTTGCATGTGGTTGGTATGGCGTTGCATGTGGTTGGTATGGCGTTTATGTGGTTGGTATGGCGTTGCATGTGGTTGGCATGGCGTTGCATGTGGTTGGTATGGCGTTGCATGTGGTCGGTATAACGTTGCACTTGGTTGGTGTGGCGTTGCGTGTGGTTGGTATGGCGTTGCGTGTGGTTGGTATGGTGTTGCATGTGGTTGGTATGGTGTTACATGTGGTTGGTATGGTGTTGCATGTGGTTAGTATGGCGTTGCATGTGTCTGGTATGGCACTGCATGTGAACATGTTTGACCATTCAATTTTCTTTTTATTCATTTTTGCTTTGGCTTGCACCTTGGTAATAAAGTTTATAGAATAACGATGCTTGAAATGGGCACGATGCCATAAGTCCGAGTGAACCAGAATCAATCATTGCAGTTCTTATTTCTCGTCCCTAGTGTGTACCCTTTTCCTCTCTTGTGAATGCAGGACTATACACTCGATTTCACTGAAGACTCCACGCTTCCCACTTTCAAATGTTTCTGCGGGTCGCCGTTCTGTCGAGACCCAAGAGCATCGAGCAGGCGGGGAATGCGTACAAATCGACGACCGTGAGTTGTGCCATAGTGAACTCTATCGTCTTATCGTACCCCCGCAAGGCAATCGGGGGTTGAATGGAACTGCGATGTGTTAGAAAAAGAAGAGGATCCTTGGATATGATAAGTTTGCTAGAATAAAATGCTGATACAACTGAAGGAACGAAGTGGACAGGATAAGACACCTAAGTTGAGAGAAGACAATGGAGTCTTTGTAGTTGCTTTGTTGATAATAAATGAAAAAGAACAAGATGATTAAAAGATAGGAGTACAAGGGTACAAATAGCAAACTAGCTAGCCATATACTATAAATCCCCGTATATAAGACGCTAGGGCAGGGCTTCAGATTCGTTTTTGGGCCACCCTTAGTAATCAGGGTTCTGCGTATAGTCAACCCTGATGCGTAGGGTAAATTTTTGTTCTCCCTGACAAGTGCAAGGTAAAAAAACAGTTAGTCTGTTTGGGCAGGGTATAAAAAATATATATATTTAATGGATATTACCAAAATATTCAATTTCAATAGTTTGTGGTACAGCTGGTTCGAATACCCATAAGGTCTGAAAGATCGCAGGTTCGAATCAGATGTTGGGAGCATTTTGCAGGGGAGGTGCAGCTGAAGGTTCATGGCAGCCTCCCCCTCACGCCACCTCCCTCCGTGGCCGCCACCCCCTCCACCTCCCCCCCCACGGTAGAAGAACAGCGGGAGGAGCTGGTGGGACGACGGGGGGGGGGGGGGGAAGGGCAGTAGAGCCGGCGTGCGCTGCTGTGGGTGCGCGGGCTGGCGTGCGTGCTGCAGCAGGTGCGCGTGCGCTGGAGTGAGTGCGCTTCTAGTGTGTGCGCGCGCTGCTGCTGGCGAGCGCACACACTGCTGGTGGCGTGCACGTGCGATGCTGGTGGTGTGCGCTTGCGCTGCTCTGGCAGGACGGACGAGGAGGCAGCACGTCGGGGAGGCGACGGGCCACGGGCGTTCGCCATCGTGTCCACCACGGCCGTCGCACTGAGCCCCGCGATGAGTGCTGTGACGTGCGCGACAGAGGCTGCGACGGAGCGGACGGGGCTCACCATTGCGTAGCTTGCCGCCGCGACAGGCAGCAGCGGGACGGGCGGCAGCGGCTGCACGATGGGCAGCGCGAAGGGCAGCACGACAGAATGCGCCATATCGGAAGCTAACGGTGGGCCCATAATCGACGAGAATATCGGTCCAAGGAGGAACCTCTCTGATATCATGTCAAGATACACTGAACGAAATTATTGTCCTTATGTATTCGATCTATACAGCAAATTGCACCCAATTGTAAAATAAGCAAGTATTGTAATAATCAAATTGCGTTTGGCGTTTGCGACTTTGTGTTACCAGTTTGTGTAGGTTACCTATGACTCAGAAAAACCTCTTGCTCTAACGAGTCAACTCTTCCCTCTTGACACCCCACACGGACAAATCCTTCCGAAATGTCGCGCGCTTTATTTCGTGCGCAGTTAGATCTAGACTAGCTAGGTAAAGATGAGATTACGGGCGGTTCTACGATCTTTGCGTAGCGCTAACACCTCCGCAGCATGAAGCGCCTTAATGTGGAGAAAAAGAAGCGCATCATGCAGCTAATTGCGGAGGGGTGTAGTTACCGCCAAATCGCTAAGGAGTTGGGAGTTTTGAAGTCCTCCGTCTATGACGAGCTCCTCCGCCACCTCGGTCCGAAAACATACAAGGAGCTAGTGCCGTCCCCGGAGAAACCTGGTCGGCCGTGCAAGCTACCAGAGCAAATCGCGAGGATAGTCGTAAGGTCGATAGTTTCTGGTGAATCGAAATCCGCCGAGGCCGCAGCGGGAATGATAGCTTCTTCGCACGTCATCAATGTCACTGGCTCCACCGTTCGAAACACTCTCAAGCGGCACAGAGTTAGGGCGATTGAAAAGCCGTCGAAGCCTAGATTATCCGAGAAAAATGTCAAGGACCGCAGGCAGTGGGCCAAGGACCATCAGCAGTGGACGATCGACGATTGGAAACGCGTGGTTTGGAGCGACAAAACGAGGATCTGCCGGTTTAGTAGCGACGGACATAGTTGGGCCTGGATTGGCCAGAGCTGTCACATGGAGCCGCACCATGTGAAACAGACCGTCAAACATGGCGGCGGCTCCATCATAATTTGGGGGTGCATGACATACAACGGCGCGGGTTTTATATGCAAGATATAGGGAAGAATGAATGAGGAGTTATACCGTTCAATCTTGCAAGACGAGCTTCAGCAGAATATCGAGCATTACGAGCTGGATCTCGAAACAGTTGTGTTCCAGCATGACAACAACCCCAAGCATACATGCAAGATGGTCAAAACTTACCTAGCCGAGCAGCCGTACTCTGTTCTCCCATGGCCAGCATCTAGTCCGGACCTCAACCCCATATAACATCTGTGGGTTTACTTGAAGAAGCAGCTGCTTGCTTACCCCCGCCCCCCTGCAGGCATTCTCGAGCTATGGGACAGAGTTCAAGTGAAATGGGAGAAAATCCCAGCGGCCTGGTGCAGTGAGCTGATCGACAGCATGCCTTAGGCGTGTGCGGGCTGTGCTCAAGGCCAAGGGTCGCTGGACCAAGTACTAGATTCTGCTTGGTTTGCATGGGTAGTCGTATTTGTAAAAAACTGTCCATATTCTAGTATTTGCCTAATTCTATATCTGCTGATTGTTCAACCGAGTTAACGGCCTAGACGCCACGTGTTTCGATGTACAACACTCCGAGCTTTAACCTTATGGCGCCCTGTTATTAAGGCTTAAACCCTGTAGCTACTAATGCACAATCATTTCTTGATTTTAGTCCATGTGGACAACTATTTCGTTCAGTGTAAGCTCATAGGCTAGGGAGCCATGGCTAGGGTTTGAGACTTAGGAGCTTGAAAGTAGCGAGAAGGGAGATGGCCAAAAGAGGGGTATTCACTAATGAATGTTTACAAGATATAGGAAAGGAGGGGAGGTGCACCACCAAAAGAAGAAGCATATAGCTACACTAGGATCAACAGTAGGCAGATATATAAATGAAACAAATACATTTCAACACTAGTGTCACCACCCTATAGTATTTAAGGGGTGGCATTACTCTCGCTACTCGACAGATTAGAATCACCGCATTGGCAGTGGAGAAAATAACAACATTTGACCACGTTGACTGTGTGAGAAAAGTACGAGGAATGGAATCAACAAGGAAGCAGGTGGGTACAAATATGAAAACCTAATAGAGTTGTACCCCATATTGTCAACCCCACTACAGCCTACAATATGGTTCTGACACACCCCCATAGGCAAAGTGGGGGACAAGCAAGAGAACAAGGCAAGGTCAAGCTCAGGGTGGATCACAACGTCACCACACATTCTGAGCACAAGTTCAAGGCCAAAAGGCCAGTTCACATGCAGGATAACAAATCAAAGTGAACAAGCAAGATAGTGATTACAACCTAACAAAGGTAAACATGCAGGCGTAGGTATATATAGATCACAGTACAAGCAAAGTCAAAAGGTAAGCAAGTGAGGCTCGGTAGGCACAAGACCTAGCATAGTACAAAAACGCTGATGATCACAAGGTTCAAGTGCCTTGGTGAAGAGAATAGCAGTGTTGGCCCGGGAGGCAATGTAAGCAAGATGAAGCTGACCACGCTGCTGCAACTCTCGAGCAAGGAAGTAGCGAAGAGCAATGTGCTTTGTTTTGTGCTCCAGTTTTTGCTCCTGACACAAGGCCAGCATGGCCTTGTTGTCGATGTATAG